CTCGGTCATATCACCGACGTTAGAGACGTTGCGAAAGGCAGGGGTCGCCGCGGTCACGGCGAAGCTCGCGCCACTGCGCGTGCAGGTGGCGTCGACAGAGCACGCGGCGCTTGGCGCACTGCAGTAGGCGCGCACGGCTGTGAGTGTCGCCGGTGTGCCGGTATAGGGGCACACGTCGGCCATCGCGCTGCTGCTGCTCGGTACAGTTGTAGTGGTTGCGCGGAAGCCTCTGTGCGACGGCGACGCCATCTGCGCAGCCTACGCCATCTTCATGTTTCACGGGGCGAGCCGGTTCGGCTCCGACATGTAAAACATGTGTGTTGAATGAAACCTCTGACAGTTACTGCGCCGCTCACTAGCACTCGTTTACACACTTGAACTGGTCGCTTGGAAGGACGATTCAGCGACCAAGTTTCGACGTCTCGCCTCGAGTCTAGTCTATCCAACAGCGTCCCGAACAACGATCATGGCATTGGCATTCACAGAGCCCTGCGTTGCGATTCGAGCTGCGTTGGTGCATGGTGTTCCATCCGGGATGCGCACTACCAGCCGCATGGATGACACCAGCCGGAACGCATCGACGAGATCTCCGACGCAAAGCAATAACGAGCGAAACATAGACCAGACGCCACCGTGGGACAGCATGCAGTGGTCCATCGCGACGAAGCAATGATTGGCTCGGCACCGGCACCCGGTATGTGCGCAAGACGCGTGCAGCTGCGACAAGGCAGGTCCAGCATCGAAACGCATCGTTTTGAGCACCACGGCAATGCGCACTGCCATAGGTATACCGGTAGATCGCATTTCCAATGAATTCCAATCAATTCCATCTCAAAGGACGCACCGTCGAGGGGGGGGCATGGTTGTCGGCCCGCTTCATACAACCCCGGTATGTAGCGCGGATGTTGGCGCGTTACAAGATGCAAACGGTCAGCGAGAACTACTCTCTTCTTCTCACCGAGAAGAAGAGGAGGACGAAGAAATTAGCAGCCATGGTCCACCTTTCCGCAAAATTGACCGCTGTGAAGGCAGCACGGATCGTACACCACAAGCAGCTCCAAGCATCATTCGACCGACAGCAAGCGTTGGTCCATTTTCACAGACATGGTTCGTTTCGAGACTCATAGGATGTGCTAGCGTTGGGATTGGCTGGGTTTCAACCAAGGGAATAAATTCCCTTGGTTTCAACGCTGCAATCGGAAAAGCTCGTTTAACTTTCTAGCTTAGGGATTGGACCAAATTACGCAAATGATGCTTCGAGAAGCTGCCACGTCAGCGGTTTTACCGCTCACTTTTTGTGCTGCCCTTCCGACCTCTCACTCTGGATTTGGCCTCGTGCGCACCAGTTGGTCGTTTGTGCTTCTGCCCGACGGAGCATCGACGAACGCACTGGAAAGCATGCCTCAGCCACGAGTGCATTTTGTAGCGCGTCTTCTCAAGGGCGTCTCCCCGGCCCCCATCTCGGTCGTTGTCGTCGCCACTTCCCTGCGCGCGCCTCCGTCCATTCCAAAGCCTACGATCGCGTCTGTCTCGCGTGTGCACACCAAGGACGCTGCCTTCTTCGCTGACTTTAGCTAACACTGTAAGAATGCTCGAATGCTACCTCTCAGCACCACACGCATATGGGACTTTTTCCAAGTGGTTCGTTGTCGTGCAAAGTGCAGTGCAATACCAGTTGTATACCGGTCTTGGTGCTTGCTTCCTGATAGCCCTCCCTAGCCCCAATCTGCAACGCGCTATCTAGGGTCCACCACAAGTAGCCAAACCCAGTTTTGTCTAGCATGGTACTCTAGTCGCCGAGGTTATCACCGCGTCGACACAACCTTGTGCACGGTGACGCCTCGCATAACAACGAGACGCGGCCCGATACCGCAAAGTAGCACCACCACCGCAACGACATGCCTAGGCTCACTGCTGCAGGCCTCCACTGTCATCTTTCCGCTCCCATCTCGACATCCGACCCGTGCAAATCGCATGCCAGACAAAAAGCAAGTGGTAGAATTGAATATGCAGACACAAGAGCTCTTACTTGGGCTGCTGCATCTGGCGCGAGACAAGGGCGGCGTAGAGGCCGTTGGGAATCTTCATGAGTTCGTGGTGCGTGCCTTTCTCGGCAATCACGCCATTGCTCGCGACCGCAATGATGTCGGCGTTCTGGATCGTCGTGAGCCGGTGGGCCACAATGATCGTCGTCCGCTTCTTGAGCTGCAAGAGCTTGTCGAGCGACGCTTGCACGATGCGCTCGCTCTCGTTGTCGAGCGCGCTCGTGGCTTCGTCGAGGAGCAACACCTCGGGGTCGCGAAGGATCGCGCGGGCAATCGCAATGCGCTGCTTCTGGCCGCCCGACACTTGCACGCCGCGGTCGCCGACTTGGGTCTCGTAGCCGTCGGGGAACTG